GCCCCCTCCTTGCCTTCGTGGTGCCGTCCACCCTCTCCCCCGGGAGCTCCGCCAGGCCGGCTCGGGCGTGGATCGGAGGGAGGGGGCTGGCTCAGCAGTGGGACCCCGCGCTCACCCCTCTTAGGCTCGGGGGGGGGAGGGGAGTCGGGCAGGGCCTTGGGCCAGCTGGCGAGAGTGGCCACTGCAGGCCCGGGCAAGGGCGTGCCCACTAGCCTGAGCTCCTCCAGCTCCGCCCTCCATCCTTCGGCGACTGGGGATCCCCATAAACCCTGCGGTCCCCCATCAACCGTGTGCCCCGGGACATCTCTCCAGTGGGCAGCTAGTAGCCCTCACCATTCGAAATGCTGACATCCTGAGTTCTTCTTACCCAAAAGTCCCTGGTTATCTGTCCTGCAACAATGTGTGGCCCCTGGCAATCTCCCTTGGAAGGCAGCTTCCAGCGAAGCCCCAGGCCTTGGGAACCCATCTCCCTCAATCCCTTGGCAAGGAAATTACTCATCCTCTAAACACATGATCTCACCTCAAGATTTTTTCCTCTTGGTCAACTAAGCAGCCTACCAAGAGATTTTCTTCCTAAATCCTCCCGATTCCATTCCTTTACCCCCAGTCCTCCACCCCAACATCTTTTCTTCTGTCTTAGACTTTCAGAGGATCTTGCCATTCTCAAATTTTAATTAGTAAGGCTCCTGGATAAACGGACTCGCAGACCCTCTTAAGAGCCCATGCATATGTGTCCAGTGCAGCTCTCCTCCTTCCCTGGGGCCAGAGAAAAGATGGATAAGAGAGACAAGGTGTTTGTACTCGTTCTTGGCTCCGGTGCCCCAAGTCTCTGGTGTTTGCTGTTCCTTATGATTGAGCATCTCCGAAAGAGTCTTGGTACAAGTCAGAAAAAGATCTTTCTGCATCAATTTTGCTGAAACTCAGCTTTTGGGAATACATTTCTAAATTTTAGAAATCTCAAACCAAATAATTTTAGATCCGTAAGAATTCTTAGGAAATGTCTGTTCCAACCCTTTAATTATACAGGTACAACTGAGGCCCAAAGGAGGATATCTATCATACCAAAAGTTATATTTACCGTTAACAGCAGAAAATACAAACGTTAACTAGGATATGCAACCATATGATTATAAAGTATCTTTCAATCCTGTGGGGCTAATATTTTGTTCTTAGATGAGGGATTTGGGTGCATGTCATCTAACTTCTGGACAAACTCTCTCTTTCTCTGCTGATGACTGTGGCTCATTTTTGCTGATCCTTAATGTTTGTGTACTCTTTTCCTCTCTAAGAGTTTTTCATCCTCCCCTCCCAGTGTAGTTAATGTCTCTGTCACCCAGAAACTCAAGGACAAAGCTGTGGAAAGTAGTTTTTCACCAGTAAAATTCTATGCTTCTATATTTTATGTATGGTATGTATACATACCCTTATGTATATATTTTAAGTGGTGGGGAGGCCATATTCTCCAGAAAGGTCCCTCAGGATTGCCCATATACTGCCCCACCATTTTTCTCTTACTGTTTCTGGAGTTCATGGGTGTAGAGCTCTGCCTGCTCCTTGGATATTTCTTGAGTGCTTGGGCACTTATGATTTTCTTGCAGGGGAGTTTTGACCATCGTTGGCTGTCCGACTTGTCCAACTTAACATATCTCAGTGACTTCAAACCATTTTGCCTCTCTGGGGTTCTCTGACATCTTGAAATCTCTGAGAAGTGAAAACGGAGAGGGTAGTGGAGTTGAGGGACATAGAAACCTGGATGCAAGAGAGAGACAAGGCTGGGCTAGGGCGTGGGGTGAGATAGAGAGAAGATTGAACTTTGTCACAGAGGGAGAATCAGGTTGACATGAGGGTAGTTAGGCAGAGAGGAGGAAGAGGTGTTTTTAAAAAGAATCAGCTTCCAGGGAAGTTAAAGGTTCTTAGTGGATAAAGGGTATTATCTTTGGAGCTAGAAGAAACCTTAGAGATCATATAAGTGGGCTTAAGGGAGGACAGGTTAAGGGAGGGGGAGGGGAGTGAGAGTGGGGATGGGTGGAAGGATTAGGTTCCAAAGCTCTCTAATTAATCATCTTTTCCATCTGCTGCTCTGTAGTGATCCCCTGCTGCCTGTCCCCTCTTAATTCTCTAATGACTGCTGGTCTGGCCCCACCCTCTACTGTAGCATGGGATGGGAACCCAGGGTGAGAAGTAAGGAGGAAAGCTGTTTTGGAGAGAGTATTAAGAGCTAGCAAATGAGACTCTGGAATGCTCTTTTCCTACTGGCTCCTTTTCCCTTTTCTGCATCATCAGCATCAGTTTGGCAGCAGTTTAAGTCCTGGGAATAGGAAACAGTCATTGGCTTTTAGAATTATAGAATAAAAGAGTATTAGAGTTGTAAGGGACCTTCAAGATTATCTAATTAATACTCCTTGTTGAACAGATGAGGAAAACGAAACTCAGAGAAGCTAAGTGATTTTCTGTGTTCATACAGCTGGCTGGTAAAGGGGTTAGTAGCGTTGGATGGGAGTAGGTAGTGCCCTTGGGGCAGGAGGGATATCTCAATGTTTAGTTTGAGGAATTCCTCACTCCTGTATATTTCGAAGTACAAAGGTAGTTTGTCTTACTAATGCAATGTCCACATTTGGAGTACGTCCTTGCCTATAATTATGTGATTTCCTTTTATATGTGCACCTACCATCCTATGGTCACCCACCTTTTTCACTAGGAATTGAGTTTTACAAAGTAAGACTGACCTACAAAGATTATCCCCATTGTGAAAACAGGTGAAATAGAAGTATCCATGTTGGATTGTAATCTCCATGGTTACTTTCCCTTCTAAAATGCTGTGACACATAATAGACATTTCCCAGACTCTGGAGTAGGTTGTCTGTGGGATTACAAAACTTGTAGCAGCAGCGACAATGAGGAGAAGCAGAGAAAGAGAGTGGAGAGAAGGCGGGTCTTGCCTCCCAGATGCCCCGTCCACTCAGCAACAGCCTGGGTAGCTGGGGGTGTGGAATGTGGTGCTGGCACCAGTGCTGGGCTAGATGCAGCTGTGTGGGCCTTGGACATTCCTTTCTCCACCCAGTTCTTGCCAGGGAGGGAAGAGGGATGGAACTCAGCCTGAGTGGGTGAGTTTTACATATTCATCTAGGAAGGGGACAACAGTACCTGTGGGGGGAAAAATCCAGAAGGTGTGACTCAGTATCCATTTCAATTCTGCTTTGACTTTCACCCTTCTCCTCAGTGTGACTTTCTCTATCAGTAAATTCTACATGGGTTTCCACATTGTCTTTCTCTTCAATTTTCCACCCAACTAAACCAATACTCCTCATACTGCTTCTTGGTTCTATTATCCAGCTTTAATTAACCCCATCCTTAATAATAGCCTATGTACACATTTTAATTGTAACCTTAATTGAATTCTAATTTCAATCCTAACCCTAATCTATTACAGACTGTGACTGCTAATCCAAATACCAACCCAATTTAATTGCCAATTTTTGCCAGCATTTTAATTCTAGCCAGTCTTAAACCAGCAACAAGGACAGCAATAAAAATGGTCACAGGTACCATTATGGAGAACTCATCATATGCTCTACTTCATGCTGTGTACTTTAAGTATCTCATTTAAGTACCAGGAAGGCCCCTGATGTATTGGGGATGTATTGGTAAGCTCCCTTACCAATACAAAGAAACAAAGGTTTAACACGATTATGTAATGTGTAAACAATGGATCCAAATCCAGATCTGCTTGACTTGAAAGCCTGTGCTTATTCCTCTTTCTGCATTTAAAATACTTTTTAACTGACCTTCTCCTAAAATCTTAACTAACACTGATTGGAATGACTTCTAAAATACCGAGTTTCTTCAAAGCACATCGTTATTGATCTTGTTTACAATAAATAAATAGTGATACAAAATACAAACCAACAAACTGAACCAAAAAGAATCCCTAAATTCCCTGCCCAGAGACCCCACTGACCCTTTAAAACAGTAAAATAATGTATCATAAAGTTAAAATATTAAAACTATAAACAGAAACAAACTGGAAAGAAAAGCCTCCTTCTCTTTCCCAGAGTCGCCATATTGCACACCTCAGGGGGCATTATTCGAATTGGAGCTGTGCAGAGCAGCAGCACTGCCTCCCACAGCTTATCAGAAAGGCACATAAAGTCAAGGTAAATATCTACCAAATTAAATCACCCTGTATGTGTGTGTGTGCATGTATAAAATGTACGAAGGAGAATCGCTAGACAATTTCAATTTCTGATGAACAATAACGATTAAGAGCCGGCTTCTACACTAGTGTCTTTACACATGTTCTCCATTTTCATAATTACAAGCCCTCTGTGCCGTATTCATCACTCCTATTGTACAGATGAGGACAGTGAGGCTCGAAGAGTCAAGATGGCTGGCATGAGAGCATAAAGGTGGTGAATGACAATCATGGGTTTCAAATACAGATTTATCTTGCTCCAAAGTCTACATTTTCAACCATTCCACTTAGCCAGAAGGGCTTCTCAGAGAAGAGGTCATCTGAGCTTGATACTGGAGAAGAGATGGGGAGTTGCTTGCTATTAGAAAAGGGGATAGGAAATAGTACAGGGGAAATTGAGCTGGATAGCTAGATTACCGAGGCAAACCAGTAAAAGGTGGAGAGTAAGTGGAGACTACAGCAAATAAAAGTAGTGATCAAGGAAGTTTCTTGTGATAAATTCAGGCAAAGATA